CAAGAGAGAGAGGAGGGTCACATCACAGTGGAGTCAGCTGTCTTAACCGTAGCTTGTGTACTGCAAACACATACCAGCTTCATCACTGTGTCTGTCATGCGACTCTGTTCCCCTTTCGGGCTCTGTCTTTACATTTATTTTGAAAGATGAAGTTCGCGATTATGGTAAGGGGCGTTACATTTCCGACGAGTGCTTGCGGTGTTCGGCCAATCACAATGCACTGGGTCAGCTGGCCAATCAGAGCAGACTGCGCTTGTCAGAAGGAGGGACTTTGTAGAAAACGAAGCGTTTGAGAGAGGCGGGGCATAGAGGACCTACAATAATGTACAGTATTTGAAAAATAATGTGTTTTTTGAACATTAAAGCATGTCAACATATTCTGTTACACCAAATACACAAAATAATGATCTTTAAAAAAGCATCATATGACCCCTTTAAGTCTTGTTGACTTGACTTGTGCTTTTTTATTGTCTAAATGCATGTGTGTCTGTGTTTAGGAGTTTGACCATCACTGCCCATGGGTGAACAACTGCATTGGGAGACGTAATTATCGTTATTTCTTTCTGTTCCTGCTCTCGCTCACTATTCACATTATGAATGTGTTTGGCTTCAGTCTGCTATACATCATCCATCACACTAAACAACTGGACCAGGTCCGCTCTGCAGTCACGTATCCTTTACCAATAACACACTTACATTTGCATGTGCACATAATGCTTTCTCATGAATACACATCAACCTGTTCAATGTTTTTTGGTATCCTTAACACACTACTCAGTATGGCGGTGATGTGTGTAGCTGGCCTGTTTTTCGTCCCAGTTGCGGGACTCACTGGGTTCCATGTTGTCCTTGTAGCCAGAGGGAGAACGACCAACGAACAGGTGCGTGTGTGTGTGTTCGGGTGTGTCCCTTGTCCACATTGTATGTGTTTGATCAAACAGAATGATGTGGTTTTTCTGCCTGATTTCTAAGGGCGTGTTCTCAAATTTCCTCTCTTCACCCTCAGGTGACTGGGAAGTTCAGAGGCGGCGTTAACCCCTTCACACAGGGGTGCTTGAAAAACATTGCACACATGCTGTGTAGTTCACAGGCTCCCAGGTTCACAAATCTTATTTTCTAACAAATAAAGATGCGTTTTGCAGATTGTGTTGGATTTAAAGTTCTAATTTTATGTATATGTTTTTTGTACAGGTATCTTGGTCACTTGCGAAAGCCTCATTCTGTTCAGGTCCAGCCACCATTTCTGCGGCCACCTCTGTCTGAAGCCCAACTAGCAGCTAAAGTCCTGGATAATGGCATCCAACAGGTACAAACGCATTATCATACACTTTGTTTTTATGCTAACAGTCATGGTTGGCAGCTGCAGTGCTTTGCAGTGGAGTAGGTCAGTAATGCTAGTTTTTTTTATTTTTGTGCAGTGTAAATTGATTTGATAATATAATAGATAAACAATAATATAAATTAAAGCATGTTATGTTAATGCTTGATCACTTTTTACCATGTTTAAGAGGTGTAAGTGATATGTGCTAGATCTGGGCTGCGTTTCCCAAAAGCATTGTTAGCCTAAGTAGATTATAGAACCATCGTCACCAATGGTCTCTGGGATCAACTTAGCTTGCAATGCTTTTGAGAAACGCAACCCTGGGGTCAAAACCTACAAACCCATAAGGTAAAAAAACATTGAATGGTATTTTTAAACCATATATGTTTTTTATTAATGTTGGGCAGCCAGTAAGTGGTCATTAAATAGCTTATATAATGAATGCTAATTTATGCTATTAAAATATGTATTATTATGAATGTCATCTGTACCCTTTTGTAGTCTAATAAATATTTGGATACTGTTGTGCATTTGTTTTAATATTGGTTCTGCTTTTCTGACATCTAAACAAAACTTATTCACATTGGTTGTAAAACTCAATATCAGTCAATCTTTTCCATCCTTAATTCACAAACTTTACACTATCTAATATTTGTCATGCTCTTGTTTTGTCGATGTAGAGAGCTGAAATTAGTTAACTTTCTTTTGAAAGTAATTGACATACATGTGAAAGATCTCAGATAAGAGCAGGTTCCTAAAATCCCTTTAGATGAGTTGGCTATTTTTGTTAAAGAGTTTCTCTGTGTGTGTGTGTGTGTGTGTGTGTGTGTGTGTGTGTTTCAGTCTAAAAGTAGTTTGGAGATAATGGAGAGTCAGTCCACTGATGCTGATCCCCCTCCACCACCTAAACCAGAGCACAGATACCCTGGGCTGCCTCACACACAAAATGAAGGTTAGTGCACACACAGATGTATCATACCCGTCAGATTATTTACAGCATCACTACAGCCCTTTTTTTCTCTTTTTATAACTTTTTTTTTTATATCTTTTCTTCCAATCAGAGTGCAGCTTGCTGACTGAGGCTCCACCCACACCTTCATTGTATAAATACAGGCCGGCCTACAGCAGTCCAGGAAAAAAACACACGGCCTCAACACATTCCAGCAAAGTAAGTCTTAAGTGCAGTACACACAATTACAGGCAAGTTCAGGTACTGAAACTTTGGTAAATGTATTTTTTTGTTTGAGACAACCATGATCTACTGCACTTGAGGTTTGCATTGCATTTTTTTCTTTTTGTTAATACGTTGAATCCTTTCTTTTATTATTTTTCTTGAATATCTGAAATCACTGGCAGTCAGTGAGCGAGTAAGTTTAGATGCGAGTTATCCGTTGTTATGGTGTGTTTTGCACCTTGCTCTTGTGTTTCGTCATTTTGACTCTGCAGTTGTTGCATTTGATTCAAGCTGGACTCTCTCCTGTTGCTGTTTTCCTCTCGTTCTGAAGCATAACTTGAATCCTTTCCTTTCCTTCATCCATTCTGTAAAAATGGCAATCCTCCTTGATGTTTTAAACATAATTCTTGTGCATTCATACGCTCCTACAGAGCCCCTAAGGGGACATGGTGATGGAAAAAATATGAGATGGGAAGAAAAATGATTTGCGTTCATTCTCAAAACTTTTGAATTTGATCGCAGTGTTTAAATTTTTTCTCACAAAGGTTTTGCACTTCAGTGAATATCAAATATTTTTTGTGTTTAAATACGTGATAAATTTCCACCTTGGTGGACAATAAAGACATACTCTACTGTTTTGTGTTCACTCGCAAATCTTTTGCGTTCGCCAGAGACACTTTGCATTTGCTTGTGTTGAAATATACACTGTGTTCCATTCCGAAAAGCTCATCCCGATGCCCTAATCCCTTCATCTTCAAAGGGTTTAACCTCCAGAGTGAGAGCTTTAAAGGGAGGAAGGATGTAAGGGACCAAAAAACTGTTCCTTAGAATGCACTTCTCTATCATCTTGTCGGGCAGATTAAGGGGGTGGAAAGAATGATGGGAGCGAAGGTTCCATCAGTTGTACCCTTTGAAATCCTTCGTTCAGCAGGGCCCTTCTAAGTGGCCAGTTTTGAGCTCTTTGGTTTGGAACTGCCCTTAAAAATGGTGGCCATGATTGTTCTTACATTGAAGTGCCCTTCGGAGGTGGATTTATCCCATTTGGAACACAGCAATAGTTTCTCCTCACTCCACATTAGTTCCATGAAATTTTTTCGAGCAAACACAAAAGTTTTGCTTGGGACTTCAAAGTTTTATGGTGGAACACAAAAGCATTGAAATGTAATTTGTCCTCCAATCTAATTTTTTCCATCACCACATCCCCTTAGGACAGGGGTGTCAAACTCATTTCCTGCAGGGCCGGAGCCCTACAGAGTTTATATTTAACCCTAATAAACACACCTGATCCAACTAATCAAGTACTTCAGGCTTATTTTAAAACTACATGGTATGAGTACTGGAGCAGGGCTGGAACTAAACTCTGCAGGGCTCCGGCCCTCCAGGAACTGAGTTCGACACCCCTGCCTAATGAGCTCCGTACGTCCCTTTATACAGTGTGGTTTGCTCAAACTTTCAGTTGTGTGCCATCTTTCATCTCTTTGGTGATGCTTCAGCTGCTGGGGATGTTTGGTGTACCTTTTCTGTCTTTTTTTTTTTTCCTCTCAGATGAGTCGAGGGAACAGTATGACCGAGTCTCCCTCTGTCCCCGTCACCACTGGGCAGCCCAGCTACCGCTCAGACCCCAGTTTGTCAAGCCGAGGGGGTGCAGGGTGCCGTGGGGGAGGGGAGGGAGGTAGAGCAGGCTCGGGGGGCCTGGGTGGGGCCTCTGCGTTTGGTGGGCGATCTTACCCTTCTTTTACTGACACCCTACTCCAATCGGCAGCAGCCTCTTGCTCCTCAAGCCTTCGCTCCGCCCATACGGCCCACAATGCCCTCGGGCCCCTCATCTCTGAGGGTACGACCTCCACTAGCTACAAGAGTTTAGCCAATCAGACACGCAACGGCAGCTTGTCGTACGAAAGTCTGCTGACGCCCTCCGAAAGCCCGGAGTTTGAGTCTGCTGCTCATGAGCTGTCCCCACCCAGACCGCACCCTCCGCACTCTCTTAGCACAGCACCAGGGGCCCCGCCTATTTTGGGGTACACTTCCCCTTTCCTATCTGCTCAGCAGAGGGAGGGCTCTCTCCAGGCCTGCCCTGCCCCCCTAAGACCCTCCCCCAACAGAGCTTTCCTGCGCCCAACAAGCTCACCTCCTTCTCGGGCTCCACCTCTTTCTCCTCGCGCTCGCTCATTGGGCTCCCCTCCTCCTGGCCCTGCCCCTGGCCATACATCTCTGGGCAAATCACTGTCCTATGGAGGTGGCGCTGAGTTACAGCACCGCCCCTCTAGCTCAGGGGGCGGGACTCCGATGCCGAAGTGAGTAATGCCTGCAGATTTTAGCCGTCTCTCTCTTTCCCCCCTCAGAAAAACCTGCACGCCTGTGTGTGTGTGATGGTCAAGTAGAACATTGAGGTCAAATGTTCGTGTTTGTATTCATTTGGTTTGGTCTTTCTTCTTCTCTTTGTTCAGTAACACTGTCTCTTTCTTCCTGCAACCCATGGCCACTCTGCTGTCCCTCGAATTTCAGTACACACCCTCCATCTTTCTCTGTCCATTTTCTTTTTCTACTCTCTTTCTTTACGTTCATCTGCTCTGTTCTGCCCTCCCCTTCTCCTGCCTTGTGGCCGTAAGGATGACTCTGTCTCTGTGCTAAGGTTCGTCTTATTATGCTTCTGTAATTTTGATGTCTTAAAGGTCAATATGAAAGTGAAATGATTTACTTGCTTAATACATTCAGAGTTTTAGATTAGTGCACATGAAAGTTGAGGAAAAAAAAGGTTTTCCCATAAAAGAAAAAAGGCTGACATTGCCAAGGCAGGGTGGATTATTTATTGTTAACCAATAGACAAACAGATATTTAACCATTTTTAGGCTACTGTTCTAGGTCAAATAGCCTTTCTAAAATCTTAATGTGGTATGTTCTTGTTAATATAGAGTGCTGCAGTGATGGTGTATCTTTGTAGGCCAACTTGTAAGTTTGCATCACTCTTGGTTCCCTCAAAAAAAAAGAAACAGTAGTTTCTGTTGGGTTTTGGATTATTGCAGAAAATAAGCTCTGCAACCAACAAATGTTTATTATTGTTACAGGTTTCATTCATCGTGGTAATCTTCACAAAGTAATAAAACAGTCGGCAGAAGTAAAAAGCTAAACGTAAGATATAAACACCGCTGTCGCATATCTGCAAACTTGCTTCCAACAACTTTTTCAGTCTTCTATTTAAAAAAAAAAAAAAAAAAGGTCTCAAAGTTTGAATTAGAATAGTTTGCAAGAGATTGATTATAAACACAACAAGGCTGTAAAAATGGACTAGTGAGTAGATGAGTTTACCTGTTTAGTATGATGACATTTAATGTTCCAACAACCTCTGTAGTCCCTGTTAGTAACCGTCTTTATCGAGAGAAGTAAAAGTTTTTTTAAAAATGACAAGGGGTTATTTTATGTCCCAGAATAAAACCTGAAAATCTCCTGCCCTTGTGTTAACCACAGCCACAGTCTTTATTTCAGGCATTTAACCAAAAACATTTTTGGCCTACAAAAATACGTATTTCCCACAGCACTCACCAGTTACCAGGGCTTCAACAATATGTGTGAGAGGATTTTGGGCAACTTGGTGGAACTTGTATATCCATATTTTTTATGCTTTGAAAACGTAATGTTTTTCTGTTTTCTGTGAGGTATTTTACATTGTTGTGAATCTTGTGTATTTGTCACCTGGCTAACTGTAAGCAATTGTTTTCTGGTACAAGAGTGTTTTCTGGTTACATTTATAGCTGTATAATTTCCAAATTGTTGTGTTTTTTTTATTAAATGTATTTTTAATATTAAAATATTTTGTAAATATTAATAATAATATAAAATACATTGCTAAAAATAAAATGTGGTCGTTATTTTGGGCCAGTGAACAGTTTGCCAGGGCGTTGAGGGCAAGTGAAACAGAACTGGCCAGAAAAAAAAAATCCTTGAGCCCTGGTGATTATTGAAAAAAAGGTTACAATGATAATAGCAATTTATACATTTGAAACGGTAACATTTCTCAATGGTAAAAGTGACCTTAAGCTTCCAATCGTTTGCCGAAAAAAATAATTTCACAATATAATGGTAATAAAGTGGCTTGTGAATGTCGATTCATGTTGGCTTTAAACCTGCTTTGCGAATGTCTTGCTTGCGTTGTCTCTGCTACATTTAATACATGTATCCCTGCAACACTTTCAATGCATCCATAGTGTTTTTGGTTCAATTATTAGGCTTTTTCACATGCATTCTTTTTAGGTTTACTTATATCTCTCTCTTTTTTCCCCCACCAACCATTAGCTCGACTGTTAAACAAAACGTGGCCAATCATAACACCCACTCCCACAAACCTGCAGGAGGGGTGAAGAAAGTGACTGGTGTTGGAGGAACGACCTATGAGATTTCAGTATGAATGGCTGACACAAAAGAATCTATCAATAGTTTTTCGCCTCGATCAGATGGCTGTAAAGCTGCTCAACGACACATGCAAAAAAGCATACAAGACTACAAAGAAAAATCCTAAGTGTTTCCCAGTCCAACTTTATCAGTCACTGTGGAGGACATACACTGAGAACATGGGCCAGTGAAGACAAATCTTACAGCATTTTGTTTTCAGAATATCAATATGGTACAGAAATACCACAGACTTTCTTTTTTATTTAAAGAATCATTTGGTACATCAATGTATTACCTACCGATTTGTATGCAAGACTGTCCAATGATCATAGTTGGGACCATGTGAGACACACTGATGCCTCATTCAGAATGGCGTCAACAGAAACCACAAGCCTCTCAGCAGTCAGCCAATAAGCATACATAAATCACTGTTCAGTCTGGCATATTCTATAGTGCACCGTTTCAAACCCTTAAAGAGACAGTTCACCAAAAATAAAAATTCTGTCATCGTTTAACACCCTTATGTCATTCCAAACCCATATGACTGACTTTCTTCAGTGGAACACAAAAGAAGATATTTTAATGAATGTTCACACTGCTCTTTTCCAGACAATATTGTCCACATGCTTTCCAGCTCCAACAAAGACAAAAAAAGCCATAAAAGTGGTCAATACAACTATTAAAGTCTTCTAAAGCAGTGGTTCTCAACCACTAACTCCCAAGGGGGCCTCAAGAAGAATTAAAATGATTTAAAATTTTAAAAAAAATTTAATTGAGTAAAACGAGTAAAAATCAAGATATTTCTTATTTTAATTCACCCACCTTGAAGAACCAGGATTCCCACTGTCTTAAAAATACTTTTATATACTGTATGAGGAAGCCTAATTTTTAAATGTGTGATTTCTAGACTTGGAAAAGTCAAGAAAATCAATAAACTCTTATAACTCCATGGGCATTTTTAGAATGAATGTACATTTTTAGCCAAGTCAAAAACGATCCTTATCCTCAATCATTATTGAGAAAATCATGAAAAACTGGAAAAGTCATTGGGCTTTTGAAAATGTAGCGGACAATGGGAGGCGTTGGAGTCCAAAAGCTTATGAAAATTATGAAAAATCATATGATAGCCGACAGATGCAAAATGCAACAATTGTGTAAAACGTTCATGTGTGCTAATCACATAACTGTCATTTTTGGGTGAACTATATCTTTTTTTTTTTTTTTTCTTCATTATTATTTTATACAGGTACAGATGTATAAGTATTAAGTTTGATAAAGAATATAATATTAAGATGCAGGCATATATGATGTATGATTGTTTGTTTTAGGTTGGATGGTGTTTGTCAGATTTATATGGCTGCATCAGCCAGATGAAATTCTCAGCCAATGGGACTCAGTCTGTTTGACAGATAGCACACTGGGCAAGTAGGAATGAATGTATCTAAAGACACACAAGTTACTAGAGCACAACATATTAAGCAAAGATTATTTACATTACGTACTGAAGATATCATATGCAAATTGTAACTTTGTGTCGGCGTGTCCACCAATCAAGAGCCATGCTCTCTTGACACATGGTCAGCCAATCACAAGAGTTTATTTATTCAGCTAGAGGAGGCCAGTGCAAGTACATGCTGGATGCACCATCGTATTGATTTTGAACATTCATTTTTTATGTTATTTTAACTTTTTTTAAACTGGATATTGGTCAAATGAACAGCCAGAGTACAGTGATTATCTCCTCGTAGATGTGTAATTTTGATTGTATTTGTCTATGTGAGAGAATGAGTGTGACATTTTATTTGAACTTACCTGACTGTTGTACAAGATCAGAAGTCGTTCACGTCTTTTGTCTGCTTTTTGAGGTCTGAGGACCAACGACCGGTCAGAGTAAGATAGAAACCGCTTATGCAGAGACTCATGCAAGAGTTTTTTGTTGTTTTTTATCTTTTGTCATTTCCACCATGGCCTTATGATGCCTTTTTAAACTGTTATCAAGGGTATTTCAGTATGTGTAACTGGCTCTTAGAGATGACAGATAGAAAGTTGTTGTGTTGAGTTTTGGGTAAGAATGCAGACTCGTTTAACCCTTCTGTATTCTGAGTCACATGAGCAACACATTTTCAACAGAACAATAAACAACAGAATGAACATAAGCTGGGTTTCCTCATTTTATATTTCAGTACTATTTTGTCCTGATGTGTCTGATAATCAGAGGCTGGTTAAAGTGTAAATGAATACTTGTTAGAGAAGAGGGTAGAACATTCAGTACAGGCACCCGTCTCACTAATAACAAACACCATCTGCAAACGCATCTCTTGTTGAGGAGAATTCAGCAGTAACTGGTGGTTTAAGTACTTTTGGGATTTGGTTAAGTACACAGGGTAATCCTTTGGCAAAAGCCACTAAGGCTGATACAAGTCTTCTAGTTCAGTACCTCTCTGAGGTTAAGGAATATGCAGACAGAAGCCTCAGGAAGCTACGAAATAGACTAAAGGAAAATAAAAGGATTTCTCTCAAAGCAAATTCTTGTAGAATTCTTGTATATGGAGGCCCAAACCTGCATAAATTAAAAATAAATAAATGTAACAATAGGGAATATATGACTTGTTAAAACAAATGCAGTTATTTTTTACTTAAATGTAGTCCTTTTTTTTTTTTCTTTAACTATTTCATTTTTTTTTATTAATTTATGTATTAATTAATTTTTATATTTTATCCTCCTGTGTATTTATTTCCATATTTATCTCCATACTTACAGAGAAGTGAGTAATACAAAGAACAAAATAAAGATTTTTTTTACTGAAAAATATACAGTTGCATTTGTGTAGGTAAGGGTAAGCCATAACATAGGCAGAGAAATGTAACATTTAAAAAATATCATAATTATCCTGGTTAATATAAAACAATTCATTTTGAGCAGTACTTTTCTATCTGGTTAAACTGTTTAGAGAAAAATACAAAAGAATATGTACAAAAATCTAAATTATATGTTAACAGTTCAGTTGTCATAGTCAAGTTCTGTATTAATATAAGAATGACAAGTTAACTGGTTTTAATCAAACCAATACAATGTTAAACAGAACTTTAGAATTCTTGTATATGGAGGCCCAAACCCGCATAAATTAAAAATAAATAAATGTAACAATAGGGAATATATGACTTGTTAAAACAAATGCAGTTATTTTTTACTTAAATGTAGTCCTTTTTTTTTCTTTAACTATTTCATTTTTTTTAATTAATTTATGTATTAATTAATTTTTATATTTTATCCTGTGTATTTATTTCCATATTTATCTCCATACTTACAGAGAAGTGAGTAATACAAAGAACAAAATAAAGATTTTTTTTACTGAAAAATATACAGTTGCATTTGTGTAGGAGAGGTAAGCCATAACATAGGCAGAGAAATGTAACATTTAAAAAATATCATAATTATCCTGGTTAATATAAAACAATTCATTTTGAGCAGTACTTTTCTATCTGGTTAAACTGTTTAGAGAAAAATACAAAAGAATATGTACAAAAATCTAAATTATATGTTAACAGTTCAGTTGTCATAGTCAAGTTCTGTATTAATATAAGAATGACAAGTTAACTGGTTTTAATCAAACCAATACAATGTTAAACAGAACTTCATGTTTAATGAGATAGTTCACCTAAAATTTTAAATTCTGTCATCATTTATTCACTTCGTCATTTTAAACCCTTGTTTTTTCTTCTGCGGAACACAAAAGTTATTTTGCATATCATTAAGTTCCATTTTATGGACAAAAATATCTTCTCAAAATATGTTCCACAAACGAAAAAAAGTCATGAGTGAATAAATTATTATTATAAATTACATTTTTGGGGTGAATCTCCATCCCTTTAATAAAAATGTATATCCATAAGAATCAAGTACACATCAGTGGATCATCACAGCCCAATGTCGTGTCTGATATGTACCGCATTACAGGTTGAATTGTGTGGTAGGCAGGAGCTTGTTTTATAACCATCACCTGAAAGCATGACAAGCTGGTGCGACTGGTAAAATTACTCAGCAGTTACTGATGCTGATGCTTCCTTGAATTGCCAGTTAATTGAAAAGAAAATGTTTAATAGACATGCATAAAATCAGCTAGATTAAAAAAATAATGTTACCAACCAAGAGCACTAACACATATTTCAAGCAATCTAACACTCATTTTATTCAAAGTGAGTGCAAACAATTACAAACGCACTTCATCAGGGAGTGCAAACACATGCTGACCCGACAGCTGGCAGTACCAGGCAACTAGTGTCATCATCTATCTCTCTATCCTTAAACATGCCAAGATCCTGTCTGCCAGTGTGCTTTAATATTACAGCATTGAAGCTCTGCCCTGAAGACGGCCAGCCAACACAGACAAACAAAAAGACCTCAGACGCTTGTGAATGCAGACACAGATCAGTCTCATTCGCAGATGGTGACTACCAGAGATGGGAACAGATAGTCTCAGAGGTTGAAATGGGAATGAAAGGGAGGAGGAGGAGGCTTACGTTTTCTTCTCTTTGTCTTTTTTGAAGGCGGAAGAGCCTTGAAAAGACTGTAGGGTTTCAGCAGCCACTCTCCTGCTGTTGAAGGTGTTCATCTCCTCCTCTAAATCTCTACGCTTCTCCTCCAGGTTCCTCTTCTCCTCCTGATGTGTTCGTTTCAGCATCTCAAATCTTTCATGCAGCTTGGAATACAGAAAAGGGCTCATTTACAATCTTTTATTTTTTGTTTTATTATTTCAATATAAAAAATGTAAATTCCATTATTATTTAACCAATTAACAGCACTAGTTTATAATGCTGAGATACTTGAAATTGTGTGTATTTATGTATTTACTTTAATCAAAAGGAGCTTATTTTATTGTATTATATTTTATTTATTTTAATAAAAGGTGACGCTTTTGAAGATTGTTTTATTATTTACTAAAAAGTGACAAGTATTTAAATATTTATTTTAATTAAATATTTTATTATTTAATAAAGAGTTAATTAATTTTAAATTAATAAATACTTATTTAAGATTTTGTTTTGTTTTATTATTTAATAATAATAAAAAGATATTTAAAATAATTAGTGTTAATATTTAAAAGGTGACAAGCATTTAAAGTTTTTTTTTTAAGTTTAATAAAAAGCTTAGCATTTTTATTTTTAAATTTAATAAAAAGTGACAAGTGTCTAAATATTTTATTATTTAATAAAAAAGTGACAAGTATTTAAAGATTTTATTTGATCATTTAATTAAAAGTGTCAAGTATTACATTTTCTTTCTTATTATTTTTCTCCAAAGCAGTGTCTGTACTAAAAGCAGTTATTATGTAATTTTTACATGACTATTTATATTAAATTAAGGCTTGTACAAATATAATTTTGTCCTGAGTTAATACAAAAATATTGTCAAATCCAGTGATTCTTACTTCTCTCTCCTTCTCTTTTAGTTCTGCTTCTGTCTCCTTC